TTCCATACACAGGCTTTTGTTCTTTTTGGTTTTTTGAGACAGGGTTTCTCTGTAGCTTTGCACCTTTCCTGGATCTCACTCTGTAGATCAGGCTGGCCTCGAACTCACAAAGATCCGCCTGGCTCTGCCTCCCCAGTGCTGGGATTAAAGGCGTGCGCCACCACCGCCCGACTTTGTTCTGTATTTGTTACAACTAATGTTTCTAGGTTTTTTTTTTTAAATTATTTTTGTAAATCTTTTGGGTTGTTTTTCTTCATGTGCATGAATGTTTTGCCTGAATGTATGTCTGGTGCCATGGAAGTCAGAAGAGAGTGTGGGTTCTCCTGATGGGATGGTGGTCCTCTGTGAACAAGTGTTCTTAACTACAGAGCCATGTCTCCAAACCCTTGAATTTTATGATAGCATTTCTCTTTAAAGTTTGCGCAAAGGGTAGGATTTTCCAACCATGCAACAAATAGGTCACTTCTCAGTGGATGGTTTGTCAGTTTAAATGTTAAAATAGTAAATGAAACATGCTGTCCCTCCTCATGCTCAAGTGCATGGTACAAAATTGTACTTGCGTTCATGAGCAAATTGAGAGAAATCTTAAGATACTTGGAAAGTATAGCTACTTAATGATGGAAAGGAGCTAAAAAGACAATGTGAGGTCAAGGATTTTAGTGTATGAGAAATGGAAATGATAGATAAGGAAGTATAGTGGAAGAATGGTTATTGGCAAGAAAGTAAGTTGATTCAAAATGTATAGCGTGAGTGAGTGCACCAGCATTGTTCATTCCAAGCAATTGGAGCAACAGGCTCAGATTTACTGGCCTTGGTTTATATGAATGAGAGAAAAAGCTTTTTACACAGTCATCACACTTGGCTTTTAGAAGTAACTTACATTTTGTCTTTGCTAAACTGACTGAAAGATCACCTAAAAGAAAATGATGCAACCAACTCACTTGTGGTTGAGTTAAAGGAAAAGCTGTTCTCCTTTCTAGATTATTATATAATGTTCATTTCAGGGGCCCTCCTCGCCAAAGACAGCCTAGAGAGGATGGCAATGAAGAGGACAAGGAAAATCAAGGAGACGAGACCCAAGGTCAGCAGCCACCTCAACGTCGGTACCGCCGCAACTTCAATTACCGACGCAGACGCCCAGAGAACCCTAAACCACAAGATGGCAAAGAGACAAAAGCAGCCGATCCACCAGCTGAGAATTCGTCCGCTCCCGAGGCTGAGCAGGGCGGGGCTGAGTAAATGCCGGCTTACCATCTCTACCATCATCCGGGTGAGTTGTTACCCTCTGGCCTCCACTGCACTGTGCTCTAGTGAAAAGAAACCAATCAACTCGGGTCTTGACAAAAAGCTAATAAGCAGTCTTGCTCCTGATGCTCTCAAGATAACGTTGTGCATTTTCAAGAAGGTTTTGAAAAGTAATCTTGTAAGTTGTAATAGTGCCCACCTTTAATTCCGGTAGCAGAGGCAGAGGCAGGCAGATCTATGAGTTTCAGAAAGCCAAGGCTACACAGAGAAATCCTATCTTAGAAAGCCAGGGAGGGGAGTCTTACCTCTGGTTCTGGGGTTGCCATTTTCTCCCTTTTTGTATATACTGGGTAGCAAAAGATCATCCAAATGCATCCATAGTGCAGTAATGTCCACTTGTGTTGTAAATCATTCTTAGGCTAAAGCAAAATGAGGTGGTTAAAGTGTGACTGATGTGCATGTAGAGTGTGGTCCACTGTGTAAAGACTTCAGAGGATAGTAAATAAGTCTTTTCTTTGCAGTTTGGTCATCCAACAAGAAGAAATGATATGAAATTCCAGCAATAAGAAATGAACAAAGATTGGAGCTGAAGACCTTAAGTGCTTGCTTTTTGCCCGTTGACCAGATACACTAGAACTATCTGCATTATCTATGCAGCATGGGGTTTTTATTATTTTTACCTAAAGATGTCTCTTTTTGGTAATGACAAATGTGTTTTTTAAAAAAAAAAAGGTCTGGTTTTTCTCAATACACCTTTAATGGTTTTTAAATTGTTTCATATCTGGTCAAGTTGAGATTTTTAAGAACTTCATTTTTAATTTGTAATAAAAGTTTACAACTTGATTTTTTAAAAAAACAAAAAAAGTCAACAAACTGCAAGCACCTGTTAATAAAGGTCTTAAATAATAGTGTCTGTCTAGTTTTGTCATAATTTAGTAATTTCTTCCCATTTTCAGGATCTTTAGAGTGAAGCAGTTTACAAATAAATGACACTGGTTTTACCCACTCCCTGGGGACAGGGACACTGTCTTAAGATTGGGGTCTATTTTCTTAATGTACAGATGAGTTCATCTGTCCAGAATGCTCTGTAAGACATCAGCTGTGGAGTCTGGAGTTTCTGTTACTACAAAGTAAATGGGTAGTGGAGTTTCATAGTGCTTGCTGTTCAAGTCCAAGTGATGTTTCCCTCTGGAAAAGCTCCATAGAACACATCATTGCAGTAGAGAACATCTGGGTGGGGAGTAACAGCTGCTGTTGGTAACCAGAGTCTTCCAAACTTAGGACCAGTTCTTCACAGTAGAAACTAATGAATTGATGGGTCATCCCTATTAAATAAACACACTGTGGGATGTGTTAGTGTTGGCTCATACCACCCGGGGTTTCTGAAATTGCTGCTGTCAAAATTGCAGTGAAGGGGATTTCTGGTAAGATATTTATGGGTGAGTGTATCAATACCTGAGACAATATTAGTTAAAACAACAGCTGACTCACATTCGACCTGGAATCTGGTAGTTGCTTAGTCCTTGAGGCTAGGTGCCTTAGCAACCTTACCTCCTGCCAAAAACCTGGAAGGTTCCTAGAGAGCTGGATGTCTTCAGTCCACCAGTGAAAGCTTGCAAGCGCTGATTCTGGAGTCTGGAAAGGAATCAACAACAACAAAGCAGATCAACTCAGCAAGAGGAAAGGCCAAAGAAGCAACCTGCCTTTTCTATCTGGTGTGCTCGCAGAAGGTGCTGCCTAGTATTCGGGGTGGGTCTTCCCATGTCAAGGCAATCGTGACATTTCTTTGGATTGTGGAGACTGTCATAATGCTAAAATTAGCAAATCGAAGTTGGAGAGGAAAATGACCCAGGGGTTACAATTGTAGAATACCTCGATACCAAGTCTAAGTCACCAGACCTAGAAGTCCATGTGAGACTTGGGATAGAAATCCAGAAGAAAGGGTGTAAAATAGATGTATTTTCAACAGTAGGGGGTGAAGGAATTTGGAGACACAGTGTGCTGTGAGGGAATGGAGAATACACAATGTGGGGAAAGCCATCAATTCATCTTTAGATGAGTGGTATTTGATGAATATTGGGGACTAGCTTGGCATTGAGGTTGGTTGATGGAAGTCTGTGTGACAGACGTGTGGCTAAGTTAATAATCGTGGCTAGATATAAAGAGAGGGCCAAGGACATAAATATGATCAGAAACAGACCAGTAATCCAAATGATACCATCAAAGACAGGGAATAAAAATCTTCTATGGAGCTTTAGTCCCAGCACTTGGGAGGCAGAGGCAGTCAGATCTCTTGAGTTTAAGGCCAGCCTGTGTACATGAACTCCAAACAGTCTTATTAAATAGACCCGGAGCTAGATATCTGGGTTAAAACCTGAGAGATCAGAGGAATGGGAAAAGCCACAAGCCAGCCTCACCTTACCCTCCAAAAGAGGTCTACTTCCTATATTACCCATGCCTTTCTGTTCTGCTATCCCATTTGCTCTCTATCCAGCTACATCACTTTCTCTGCCCAGCTCTGTACTTCTGTCTGTACAGACCTCCAAACCTTTATGGTTAACTAGTGTTGGAATTTAAGGCGTGTGCCACCACGCCTGGCTCTTCCCAGTGTTGCCTTGAACTCACAGAGATCCAGACAGATCCCTGCCTTCCAAATGATAGGATTAAAGGTGTGTGCTGCCATTGTCTGACTTCCATGTTTAATATAATGGCTTGCTTTTTCCTCTGATCTCTAGGCAAACTTTGTTTATTAGAGCACAAATGAAGTATCACCACAAGCCTGGTCTACAGAGATAGCCAAGGCTACACAGAAATCCTGTTTAAAAAAAGGGCTGTTGGTGAGAGCAGGCCTGGCATCCATGCAGATGCAGCTGGCTGAGGGATTAAGGGCTGCTGTGGTGCATGCACAGTCAGCTTCCTGCAGCCCTTCATCTGTTGTGTGGAACTTTTTTATTGCTGTGACAAAACACCATGAACAGACACCTTATTTTTAAGAGAAAAAAGGTTTAATTGTGTACATGGTATCAGGGTTAGAGTCCTTGGTGGCAAGATTAGCTAGGAGCTACTTTATAGACAGAGCCTCACTATGTAGACCAGGCTGGTCTTGAACTGAGGTCCTTCCTCTGCCCTTATTTAGGACTAAAAGCAAATGCTACCACACCCTGTGAGAGCTCATGTCTTAATCCACAAGGCCAACCGTAAACTCAATGGTAGCCAGTTGTTTGAGACAAAGCCTACTCCCAGTGACATACTTTCTCTAGCAAGGCTACACCAAGCAGCCACTGGAGGCCCAAGTATTGAATGAGCCCATGGGGGCTCATTTTCATTAGAACTACCACACCGTCCTCCAAAGGCCCTAGTCATCCACACTCAACCTCCATATACAGTGAGTGTGAGTTGACACCCAAAGGATCGTCATCTGGTAAGCTCTGCTGCGTGTTTCCCACTTTAGAACAGAGTACAGTAGGCTTAGTGTGATGGTGCACGCAGGAACTCTTGGGAGTTTGAGACCAGGCTGATCTACACAGCTCCAGACCAGCCAGGACTACATAAACCCCTGTCTCAAAAACTAGTCTAGAGACTGTCTCACTTCCCAGCAGAAGCCAGTGTCTTACAGGAGACTGAGTGTGCTTCACTCCTGAGCCTACTGTTTTGTTCCAGTTTCCTTTTCCTGGAACGTGCTAGGCACCATCCCCACCACAAAGCTTTCATACATTTCCTCTTGGCTGTAACAGTTCCTGCACATAACCAAATGACTTTATCCCTCACTTCTTTAAAGCCTGTGGTTTAGGCGTTCATTCCTTACTGACATGCTAAAAAGTGTGGCATCCTCTCGCTATGCTCTCCTGGTCACCTACATTCCTGCTCTGCTCCCTTATTTCCTGTCTTTCCCTGGTAGAAGGTAAGCCCTGTAAAGGCAGGAGGGTTTATGCTTTGCTTGCTGAGTTAAAAACAAAATATCAAATGTGTTGAAAGGAAATAAGCAACCGTCAGCCGGGCGGCAGTGGCACATGCCTCAGGGCTGAAGCACGAGCCAGGTGGATCTCTGTTAGTTCGACGCCAGCCTGGTCTACAGAGCGAGATCTAGGACAGGCTCCAAAACTACACAGAGAAACCCTGTGTGTGTGTGTGGGGCGGGGGGGGACCTTGAACAGTGGGGCCAAGTAAGGGCTGTAGCTGGAAGGGGAGATGAGTAATGTGACTGGTTTAGGCTGCTATTACATCATACCATAGACCCCATGCCTTAAGCAGCTGTTCTGAAGATTGGCAAGTCCCAAGGTCAGTTTAAGTCTTGTGATATGGCTTGCAGTTACAAGAAAGGTTACCTTCCTGCTGTGTCAACAAGGCCAAGAGGAACCACTCCCATTATGAGGGCCCCACCCTATGACCTCATTCAGACAGAATGGCTTCCTGCTATGACTTGGATCTGAAATATACCCCCAAAGGCCCATACGTTGACAACTCTCTCTTGCCAGTAGCGCTAGGGGTGTGTGATAGGAGAGATGTCTGATGGGTCTCAGTTTACTGAGGCACATGTCTTCAAGGGTTGTAAGACTCTTCTTTCATGTCCTGGGCCATAAACTAAGCAGCTTTGCTCTTACTACATGCTTCTGATATGACAGGCTGCCTCACAACAGACAGGAAGTACGGGGAAGAGGGCCAAAAGTCATGAACAGAAACCCGAAACAGCTATGGTCATCTAAGGATAGGGCTGGGGACATTGCTGGGTATTGAATCCTAGAGCCTTGTGCTCCCATGCTACTAAGTGAGCACTCTACCCATCCCTGTTCCAGGATTTTGTTACGGAAAGCTTACAAGCATCCCAAAGGCTCCATCACCAAATATCCTCACATGTGGGGCTTAGGGCTTCAACATGAATGGGGTGAGGGGACACCCTGATAGAATTGTACCCATTGCATTGTATAGTTTGCACATTGATAACCAAGACTCCTGAAAGTGAAAGTGTGAGTCAGTTACCCTGGAATGAAAGACTCAATGTAAATCAGTAAAGCTGAGGGAATTTAGGATGAGAGGACATGATTGTACGGGGATGGAGAAAAACGAATCAGTTTTAGGGTTGGGGTGGATCTGGGAAGAATAGAGGGGCTGAATATGATTTTATACATTGTATATATGTACAGAAATAGTAAATGCTTTATACTTAGGGTACCAACAACTCATTTTACCTTCTGTTAACTTTTTTGGTGATGGTGGTGGTGGTGGTGGTGGTTTTGGTTTGGCTTTGGGTTTTTTGGTTGTCCTGGAACTCGCTAAGTAGACCAGGCTTGCATCAAACTCACAGAGATCCTTCTGTTTCTGGAGTGATAGGATCAAAGAAAGGTGTGAGTCACCACGCCTGGCTTAACCCATTTGAGACAGTAAGATGAAAAGCCTAAGTCTTGGTTCTGCTAATGCCTCAATAGCCACCCTCATTCTAAAGTGGGATAACTGTACTTATTACTTCTGAGACCAAGATTGAACTGAAATGCTGTAGCAAAACTCTTGGCTGGCAACCCAGTAGACACGTTTTGTTATATAAGAATGTTTTCTTTTCTTTTTTTTTTTTTAAAGGTTTATTTATTATGTATACAGTGTTCTGCATGTATGTCTACCTGCAGGCCAGAAGGGGGCACCAGATCTCATTATGGCTGGTTGTGAGCCACCATGTGGTTGCTGGGAGCTGAACTCAGGACCTCTGGAAGAACAGCCAGAGCTCTTAACCGCTGAGCCATCTCTCCAGCCCCAGAATGTTTTCTTTACTAGACTCCTTTGCAGCTACAGTTATTCATTCTGTGACCTAGGAACTAGGTCAGTGAGACACAGGAGAAAGGCAATGATAACATTGACTAATGCTCTCACATAGGCCTTTGCCTCCCTCTCTGAGGGTGGGACTCCCGTGGACACTATG